GTAAGCCACAAGTCCTCATGCATTTAAAAGATTTGACTCATACAAAATATGTTCTCTAACCACCATAGAATTAAATTAGAAATCAGCACCACAAAGATCCCTACAAAACACTATGATATTTGAAAATTAAATAACACATTTCTAAATAAACCATGGGAAAAGGAGGAAGCAATGAAACTCATATAGAATGGAATACAAATTAGAAAAAATCCGGTCTATCTCATACTATGTGGGATGCAACTAAAATAAAGCAGTATTTGAAGGTAAATGTGTAGATTTAAGTAGCTGTTAGAAGAAAAGTCCCAAATCAGTCGACTTAACATCCACCACAATAGACAAGAAGACTTGCAAATACAACAGAACAAGAGGAAAGGAAACAGCAGGTTAAGAGCAGAAAGCAACAGTAGGACTGGGGAGATAGTGCAGTGGTAGGACACTTGTTTAGAATATGTGGAGCCTTGTGTTCAATTCCCAGGCCATAAAAAAGAAAGAAAACAGTGAAATAGAAATATGGAAAATCAATTAAACCAAAAGCCATAACTTTGAGATGATGAACACATTTTATGAAAAGTTGGGGGGGAGAGTGAAAAAGGATCAATATCAAGATTGAGAGAGGAGACATCACTACATATCTTACAGTTTAGCAAATAAGACAATATTTACCCTAAATTGATGACTGGATAAAATATTCTCACAATCAAAATTCCAACAATGTCTTAATCACTTTCTTGTCACTGGGACAAACTCAATATTCTTCAAGGAGGAGAGGTTTATTTTGGTTCATGGTTTTACTTCACAGTTGGCCAGGTCCAAGGCAGGAAAAGCATGGCAGCAGTGATGTAGGAAAAAATATAATTCCCAACCTGCTAGATGTCAGATACTCTGAGTTCGTGCCCCCCCTCAAACTGAGAAATGAATTCTAAAAAAACAGCCAAGGTTAAGAATAGGAAACTTTTATTGAGAGATAGGAGGGGACCCAAAAGTGGATTGCCAATGAACCCACTTCTCAAAGCAAGATTACAGAGCAAAAACGTGAGATTTTGGGTACAAAATCAGGAGGCGGGTACATATGTGGATCAGACTATGATCAACCAGTAAGATTACAAGTATAGCTGCTCAGCTATCAGTCCAGTAGGGAAGCAGGTCACGTAGCAAAGGTACATGCAAAGAACAAAGACCTTTTTAGGAAGGAATGGATCCAGAAGTTCTGGCCACACACCCGGGTGACTGATGTCTATCTGGACTTTATTAGACTAGGTGATACCAACTATAGTCTAATCTCGTTATTGCTTGTCCCTGGAGGAGGCATGTAGGCCTGCTCATTCCATCTTTATCTTGAGGCCTGGCCTTCAGCAGAAGCGCCTGCAGCCACAGCTGTGATGTGTTCTCATCTTCCGCACTGACTCCCTTGAGGCCCGGTCCTGTGTGACTGCCTAAAATATTTCTACCTACCTTAGCTGGCTATAATAGAAGGGCCCAGGAAGGAAAGCAGCTCAGGTCACGGAGGCCAGGAAGCAGAGAAAAGGGAGGAGCCAGGGAGGGAGCCTCATCCTTCCAGGCCCCGCCACCTCCAAAATCCCCACCTGTGAGCGCGAGGCTCGCCAGACTTCAGCCATGACGGGCCGTCTTGTACAAACTCACAGGCTGATTCCAAAACCTATATGACATCAAAGTCCTAGGATAACGCAAAAGTTTTGAAACAAAACAAAGACGACTCACTGTACCCGTTTTAAGATTGCTAAAAATCTACAGTAGTCAAAGAGGGTGGTATTGGTATCGAGGTACAGGGTGAGCTCGAGGACAGATGATACAAAAATGATCAATCGTCACGCAGTCTATCAAAGCCACTCAAAATAGTACACGGCCCAGGTCTACAATTTTCAGTGTATAAAATTCTTAAAAGAAATGAGGACATCTCAGTGAGCCGGGATGTGCCAAGAGTCAGCGCCATCTTCTCCTTGGTGCTGCTCCCAGGCTCCTGCCCGAGCGAGGAGCAGGCTGGTGCAGTCAGTGTCTCTAGTTTCAGTTTCTCGCAGTTCCTCCATAGTGCTTTCCACAATAGCAGCACTTGCAAATATGTTTTAAATGGAGAAACTTTTTAACTAAGTGGACCAAAGCATCGAATATGTAATTCACTGTCTGAGTACAAATTTCAAACAAATACATTAAAGTATTCATCATCCAAACAGGAGCTCTTCTGGATGTCAATGGCATTTTCCAGGGCACAATGGGAACTCTGTCCTTCACTGGTACCAAAAACTCTATTCCAACTAATTCAAACAAAAGAAAGCAGAGAGGGAGGGAGGGAGGAGAGAGGACAAGGCAAATTAATACGTGGGAGGAGATGGGAGCCTGTGTACCCTGTCCGGTGGACAGCCCACAAACCGGAAGGAAAACCGTGGTGGCCAAGCCTGGGAAACACCTGTTCTCTGGAATGGCTCACCTGCTGCTGCTGCTGCCGCTGCTGCTGGCATTTGGGGGGGGCCCAGGGGGAGGGACTCCACCCCACAGGAACCCCAAGGTGGCAGGAAGAGCAAGTTCTCAAAGGAGGGGCACCCGGAAAACAACTCAGGACAGAGTTCAGAAGGGTGAATTGACACAGACTTCCGGAGAGCAGTTGGAAAATACTGATCAAAAACATTAAAATGTGCCGATCCTTAACCTGCTCTCCCTCCAGGCAAGATCATATTTTATTCAGGATTTGGAAGCATCAGCCCCAAGGACATTGCTGTAAGGAGGAAAGCAGGAAATGGTGAGTAAAAGAACATGTAAATGATTTCTCTTCTTGGACTCTATCTTAGGAAAATCAATCAAATGTTGATCCTACCCAAAATCACAAAGGGTAAGGGGCTCCCCAAGAAACTAGAATAACAGTATTAGTTGCCATTTAAAATGATGCTTGCAAATAATTTAACTGAAGGAAATGCTTATTAGCCACGTTAAGTGCAGAAAACATACACACTATGCACATGTAACACATGACGAGTGTGTAATATATATTTATGTACTAGACGAAAATACACAGAAACATTTGGACTGCTCGCTTATGTGTTATAATGATTCTTAATATTTGTTTCTTCTCTATTTCCAATTTTCTAACATCAGTAGGTGTGATTTTGAAGATCAGAACAAGAACAAAACTTCATTAAAAGATAGTTGACACCTGCTTTTCACACAGTGTGATTTGGGGGCCACGCTGGTGTCCAGGTGCCTGAGAGGGGACCAGCAGGTGCTCTTCTTAGAGCCTCCAGCACAGTGGACAGAAGAGATAAGACTGTCCCTGGGCTGCCTGCAGATGGTGCTGGGCTGGAGATGGGACTATCAAGGAACTGAGGCTGGTCTGGAATCACCATGGCATAGGTCAGACCTAATAGCACAGGAATAAGAACAAAAACGATGCAGTAAAAAGCGAGGGCAGTGTCCCTAGCGTCACATGCTGGCATCTACGTGGGTCCCACCAGGTGTTTCTGCATCCTTACCTACTTTCCTGGGGGCTGGGGCCTTGAAATACACCCTGTAGAGATGACTCACAAAAGGGGACGGGGGACAATGGAGAAAGGAGAGGAAGAGGAGGAGGAGGAGGAGGAAGAGGAGGAGGAAGAGGAGGAAGAAGAGGAGGAGGAGG